AAGGTTACACAAACCAAATTAGCCACACAAGGGAGCTACTTCTATGCTTCACAAGCAAGAAGGTAACTAGTGAGCTACACAAGCTAACTAATTACAAGAGCAACTATACAAGCACAATGTATATGAAAGTAACTACAAGCTTGTGTAAGAGGATTGCAAACCAACAGGAAGAACAATGTTGACATTGTGATTTTCTCCCGAGGGTCATGTGCTTGCCAACACGCTACGTCCCCGTTGTGTCGACCACTCACTTGGTGGTTCGGCGACTAATTGGCATCACCCGCCAAGCCCACATGTCGGGCACTGCAAGAACCTACCGTGAAAGTGAGGGTAGCTCAGTGACACGCTCAACTAGAGTTGCTCTTCGTAGCTCCCGCGGGGTGAGCACAATGCCCCTCAAAGCTCTTCTCCAGAGCACCTCACAAGCTTCTTGCAGGCTTCGACAGAGACCACCACCAAGCCATCTAGGAGGTGGCAACCTCCAAGAGTAACAAGCACCACCGGCTTGCAACTCGATCACCTAGTGCCACTCGATGCAACCTCACGATGCAATTACACTAGAATCGCTCTCTCACACAATCGGATAATTACTATCAAGCATATGTGAGATGGAGGGCTCCCAAGCACTCTCAAGCATGGACACAAAGTCCCTCGAGGTGCTCAGCCCTAGCCATGGCCGAGACCACCTTCTATCTATAGCCCCATGGGCTAAACCAGCCGTTACCCCTTCACTGGGCAAAACTCAGGACGACCAGACGCTCCGGTCGTATTGACCGGACGCACCCTGCCAGCGTCCGGTCAATGGATAGCTGCCACATCATCCATTGCTTCAAATACTGAGTGCTCGACCTCAACGGTTAAGTTATGACCAGACGCAGCACAGTGTATGACCGGACGCAGGACCCCTACGTCCGGTCACTTCCAGTAAGGTTCCACTCATGCCCAGACGCGTCCGGACACCCCTGACCGGACTCGCCCAGCGTTCGATCACTCACTGTCTTCTCTGTGCGCGGTCACACCAGCGCGACCGAACGCACCCAACCAGTGTCCGGTCACTTTCAACGCCAGCGTCCGGTCGAAGACCGACACATGCGCGTTCTCTGCTGCCACTGACCGGACACAGGACCCCAACGTCCGGTCACTGCGTGACCAGCGTCCGGTGCACTATGTGAAACCCTATCTTTTCTATATAGGGTGCCGGTGGCACCGTCAAACTATCCGCACTCTATGGGCGGACACTCTGTCGGTGGAGTTTTGAACCTTTCTCGCCTTCGTTCCATCGCCGAGTTGATCCACATCAACTCCAACTTCATCTCCTTTGTAAATGTGCCAACACCACCAAGTGTACACTACCATGTGTATGTGTGTTAGCATTTCAAAAATATTTTCCAAAGGATTAGCCACTCAACTTGCCACACCACTCGATCCTAGCGACGATGCAAAGTTAGATCACTCAAGTGGCACTAGATGACTGATATGCAAACAAGTTTGCCCCTCTTGATAGTATGGCCATCTATCATAAACCCGGTCAACAACTTGTCTACACACCTATGACTGGTGAAATGAAATGCCCTAGGTTATACTTTTGCCTTGCGCATTCCATTCCATCTCCTCCAATGTCGATGTAACACATGCATCAACACGATCAACAATGATATGATCCACTTCATATCATCACATGATCATATTGGTTCATCGATCTTGACTTTACTTGCTTTTCACCGTTGCCTTCGTCCATCGGCGCCAAGTCTTGCTCAAGCTTCACCGCCACGCGGTCCATCGCTCCAAAGCCTTCAACTTGCCCTTCACGCTTGCAACCGGCCCATCAAGCCAAGTCATGTCTTGATCTTCTCCACCTTGATCACATGACTCAATGTCATGTCTCATGTGCAATGAGCTCCTTCATCATCACATGTGTGAGCTTTGCAACATCTCCGAGCCATTTCCACCTTCATGGCATATGTTGCTCACACACATGTACCTGTGAACAAATCACCTGTGTATCTCACATAAACACAATTAGTCCATATAGGTTGTCACTCAGTTATCAAAACCATACAAGGACCTTTCACGCGGCCGGTTCCAGCCTTAATGGCATGATGAAGGGGGAAACGACCAATTGAAGCACGACCAGGCTCAATTGAAGGCCGGAGGTGACTGGGGCGGTAGCAGGGCTCCAACACCAATGCCTGGCGTGAGTAATAGCTAAGGCAGTGACCACGCGCGGTGAATTCGACTCGGGCAAAGCTCGGCCCCGCCTGCCATCCCAGGCGACCGCAGCATTGCGCGTGAGAGACGTAGGGACGCGATGACACAACGCGTCACGAAGCCATTTAACACACGAGGACAAGACAAGGGGACGACAGCTCCACGTGTGACGCAGTGCGAGGCCAGCAACGGCGATGTGTCGCCTCGGCGGGACGCGGACGCCAGGCAGAGCAGCAGCCTGTGGGGGTGCCGCGTGCCTGCTGCGCGCTGTGCGCCCGACGTGACGACGTGACGCAGCGAAACGTGCACGTGCTATGGCGCGACAATGATGGCGCGAGGCAGCACGGTGACGGGACGGCGGCGGTCCCCGGCGCGGCGGTGACAACATGAGGCGGGCGTCCAGGCGGCAGCGGACCGACCAGAGCGACTGGCCCACGACGGCAACGGCAAGGACACCGCAGGGCGGAGCGGCCAGGCCAACGCGGTGGTGCATGCGTGCATGCGTCAGGCGGCCGGCGCGGTGACGACGAGTGCCGAGGCACGGTGACCGCGTCCACGCGCGGATCTTGGCCCAAAACATGCTATGCACGCTTTTTAAAGCGCCCCAAAAACCCAATTTGATGCTTCAATTGCTTAACCACATATTCCATTCATAAGAGGCATATTGAGCTATTAAAACCAGCCCTAAAACCACCCCACTACTTAACCCCATTCTCCTACAAAAATTATCAAACATGGCTTCGTCAAACCCTTTTCAAACTTACGAAATCGACTAAGTCTTGATCGGGTTCGCGTCAAATTAGATTTCCAAGCTATTAAGTATGATAGCCAGTGAATTCCTTTCTCGACCGCAGGTATTTCATCGCCATCTATAAGCTTTGTACTATAAACTTTATTAAAGTTCCATATACACGTTCTATAGTGTTTTCGCTTAATAAAAATTAATTTAAAACCCTAGGTGATATAACTTGACTATGAAAGGTAGCTTTCGTTTCACGTTTCCGATGATAGTTTTAAGTTACAAAAATTAATTTACATACTATATCACATGCATTAACACATAACCATGATTCTCATGATATGTTTTAGCAAAAGATTTACAGTGTAACACCGAGGGTGTTACAAGAATGAACTTATTTCAACATATATGAGCATATAGGCCGGTCTTCTCTTCACTCTCAGGCCCTCCAACCACATGAAAGTTTGAGCAACATAACGTAGAAATCCCTTTTAGCTTGTTACTAGTGGCTTTCAAGGGGATCTCATATTTTTTGTACTTAGAGTACATGGTAAATCCTTGATAAAGTTTTTAAACCATGGAAAATATATCCAAGCTTCTAAAAATTATGAGAAAAATCAGAGGGATAGAACAAAAATTAGATTTAGCTCTAGAAAAATGCGAAAATAACTAGAAAATTTGGAAAATTCACAGAATATTATAATTGGTGTCTAAAAATGTGTTTTAAAACTTTCCATGACAAAAATATGATGCAACTAGCATGAATGCAACATGCATTTAATGTCTAATGCATCTTGGTGCATTTCATGTTTTTGTTGTGCCAAGTTTTCAAAAACACATTTAGACAACTACTAGACTTTTTCTGGAACAATTTTTCATTGCCTTAGAGAGAAATCTATTTTTTGAAACTTTCTAGGGGTATTTTCACGAGTTCTAAATATTTTATTTCGTTTTTTGTCCTAATCTATCTCTATAATTTTCCTTAGAATTTTAGAAGCCTAGAGGCATTTTTTAGTATTTAAACAATCATCAGGTTTATCAAATTTAACTAAAATAAGATGAAACCGCATTGAAAACCATTTCTAACCGAGTCACGAACTTGATTTTGAGAGTTTAGGGCGTAAGATGTAAGGCTTAGAGTTAGAGGAGAAAAATCATACCAACAATAGTTTTCGGAGATAAAATGGACTTTCTCATAACATTTTATTTCTAGCAGGTGCGCTGCATGGTTGCATGTACACAAAGAGTAATGGAAGGAAAAAAATACTTTCTATTGCTTTTTACACTTCTACTATATAGTTGATTTTAAGGTTCGAACTCAAATACTTGACGATTTTGATCTTTTTAACTATTCAAAACGTTATTTGTTTTGAAGTTAGTTTTTCTTTCACAAAGTCAGCGGTAGCTAAATACCATGTATGATGGTTTCACCATTAAATTATGTGCTAATTTGGTAAATGCATTAATATGCATGTTAAAACGATATTGATAAAAATCAACTTCAAAACAGTGGATGGCCAAAATTACATGTATTTCAAATGGTTGAATGCCTAAATTTATTTAGTATCATTGTGTTAGGTAAAAATATTTAGTTTTAACCAAATTTACCCAAAAAATATATTAACATTTATAGTATCAAAGATATGTACTATCAAGACATATTTCATGTTAGATTGTCAAACTACAATTTTCAGCCGAGGTGTCTCGACAAAACCGGAATCTCGCGATAGTTTAGAGAAAAAAAATGGACTTCCAAGAAAAAGGGGGCTCCTCGCCAGTTCGCCTCCCACAAAGGAAAACTACCTGTGGCAGACGCGGCCCGCGCAGCTGGCAGTTAACCGCTCGGAAGTCGCCGCGACGAGGTGCTGGATTTTGACTTGCTACCAGAAATCGGAGCGAACCAAGCTGCCGCAAAACCCCTCGCCTGCGGCTTCGCTTCGGCCGCCGCCGCCGCCGACACTTTGCCGCGTGCCTCGCGCCCCCGCGCCGCCGATGCGATCAGCGACGCACGCCAGATCCGAGCTTCTGTAGGACCTTCAGCCGTCGCCGTCCCATGGGGGACTGCGTCGTCGAGGACGGCCACGGGCACCACCACTCGGAGGCGGTGGAGGGCGCAGCGATGGAGGGCGCGGTTCCGTTGAAGGTAGCCGTAGAGCTCGATGAGCGGGCGGGAGAGTCGCGGGAGGAGGGTGGCGGGCAGCGGAAGAAAGTGGGCGGGATCCGAAGGGAGCCGTCGTTCTCGCGGTGGTGCAGGGACCCCTCTGTCGCCGCCGCCTCCAATACCGCAGCTGCTGCGGCGACCAGCGACAGCGACGACTCAGAGGAGTTCGAGCTGCCGCTCCTGTCATCCTCCTCGGGCGGCGGCAGCTCACCGATGGACATTGAGGCGGGGGCGACGGCGAGATCTGATGATCTGCCGATCTCGCCGAGGTTGCTTGCGAAGGTCATCGGGTTGATAGCGTGCTGGTACACGCTCAGCACATGCTTGACGCTGTAAGTAACACGTATTGTTCGTTAATACTGTTGTGCGGATTTTCCGGCTACCTTCGTGTGCGGATATGTTTGTTGCTAGTGTTCATTCCGTGCGCGTGCGCATGTGGTCAGGTACAACAAGGAGATGCTGGGGAAGCACATGTGGAAATTCCCGGCGCCATTCCTGATGAACACAGTGCATTTCACGTTGCAGGCTGTGGCGTCCAGGGCCATCGTGTGGTTCCAGCAACGCGGCCTGGAGGGAGGGCCAATTAAAATGTCGTGGAAGGATTACTGTTTACGAGGTGGGTATCTGCGTGATGTGCTGTTTCTAATATTGTTCATATGTCTACTATAGTTGGGTGAGTATCAGTTCCACATATAGTGCAAAGTGTCATGTGAATTGGATATCTCGGTGCTCCATAATCAGCAAAACTAACTTTGGCTATTCTGGACTAGCGGTGGATGTGAATAGGATTGTCAAACACAATATAACTAGCATCAGGGAAGCATAATCGAAATTAGGTCTTTTGGGGTAAGGTAAAAGCATTGAGCATGGAGGAAATTAAGCGTTTTGGTGTGAAACAACCATGAGGCCAAATGCGTATACAGAACAACCTATATGCTAGATTAAGCAAGGATGCAAAACCGCAATCATTTGTGGTTTTGCTTCTTTTAAACGGTAATCTCACACATGCTCCCACTTGGGGATCAAACCCTGGGTGCGGGTGGCGCACTCCCTCACATTTACCACCACAATGTGAATCAAAACTGCTACAGAGCCATATGAGCTCAAAAATAGAGTTGGTTGCCACTTCCCTTGTTTGTATCTTTGTTATTACATTTCAGTAAATTTGTACCATGGCCTATGATCTAGAAAACACTTCTCACTCGATTTAATAAAAAGAAGTTAGTAAAACATTAGTACAATTTTGTCTTGTTGTTTACTCATTTGTTTGTATTTTGTTGTTTAAGCTGCAATAAATAGTAAGTTCAATATTTACTCTAATTTGTATGTATAACAATTCCAGTATTGGTTGTGCAGTTGTCCCAACAGCTTTGGCTACTGCTCTTGATATAAATCTGAGCAACATTTCACTTGTTTTCATTACTGTGACATTTGCTACAATGGTATAATTCTTTCTAAAATGATCATTATTTGTTCTGTCTACAGTTAGTATTTGGGCTTCTAATTCACCCTTTTAAATTCTTGTGCAGTGCAAATCTGCTTCTCCAATTTTCATTCTTCTGTTTGCTTTTATGTTCAGGTACTTTGCTTGCTACTCTGTCTTTAGTTGCACGGGCCTTATTGTCTTCAGTTTTAGCAAGTTCTCGTCTTCGTTGAATCTACTTATGTTTTTTCATCTGTTACTGTCACTACAATTGTCTTTTCATGTTCTTTTGCTATGCTTTGTATCATTTTTCTTGTCACAAGCTGAAGTTTACCTTCTTTGTTTGGAAGGCTTGAGAAACCGAGCTTTAGCCTTCTTGGAATCATGCTGGTTATTTCATTTGGAGTTCTACTAACAGGTAATACATGCTTACATTAACGTATTCAGGGTTAAGAAAATACCCTTGCAACTAGTGTGTTACTAAATTATAGGGTTGGTAGTATAATCTGTGGATTACTGTTGCATCTTAATTCTCAACTTCATGCCACTTAGATTTTTCCTGAAAGTTATCAGCTTCCTGTTGCATCTTAATTTTTAAGTTCACGCCACTTACATATTTTCTGTTATCTTATCATCTTTGACCGTGGCCTAATTTTGTATCTTGCAGTTGCTAAAGAGACAGAATTTAATCTGTGGGGATTTATATTTATTATGCTTGCTGCTGTTATGTCTGGTTTCCGCTGGTCCATGACTCAGATTCTTCTCCAGGTTTGTTGTCATATAATGCTTTCGCAGTTTTCTTATTTTATACTGTTTAAATACTGTGTAATAATGGTTGTATACCTGTGGCTGTATTTTCAATTCATCCCTGTCGTGACTGAACTTCTGGGTTTTTTTTTCTTATATATGTCTTCCAAAATTCCTGAAGAAGGAGGAATACGGTAAGCTTTCTATCTTAGCATTTTACTCACAGATAGGAACATTATTACACCTTTCATCCGTGTGATGGCATCAGCCACACATGGTTAGGATTGGGATCCTTGTTATTGGTAGGATTGTTTTGTTGCCTGACAGTAAGATTTGTAATATGTTGTAAAGGTTGAATCCTATGATATTCATTTTGATTAATTTAATTGACTTTTTGTAAATTTAAGTGGACTTATTGACATTATTTTCAATCCACCTAATATTTTATCACAGCCGAGTCATTTAAAAAAATCATTATTTCAATTATTATGCAAGATCGTAAGATCATTGGGATCATATGTAAGATCCTACCTATCTTATGAGATTGGGATGCTATGAAATTTAAGACTTATGGTGGGTTCGGAATCGTTTCGACTTGGTAGAATCGTAGTATCCTAACATTCTAGGATATGGATTGGGATACTGAGAAGTGACAACCATGCAGTCACATACCTGAAAAATAGTCATACAAGGTTCATAAATATTCAGATAGATTTGATTGGCTTAATTTCTTTGGAAGTACAACTACTGATCTATCTATAGCCGGTAGCCGCTATTGCGGTATTGCCTCAAAACTATTCCATGTCAGCTGTTCTGTGAATACATTGCATTAGAGTCTATACCAGTATGGTCTGAAATATTAAAATTGACAACTTCAAATGCAGTTTATTCTACTGAGTCAATCAACATGTTAAATGACAGATTTACAGCACCATTATTTTATTTTATTTTGCCATGCAGGATTAAAGAATCCTTTTACTTTGATGAGCCATGTTACCCCGGTAATGGCAATAGTAACAGCAATTATTTCCATTGTGATGGATCCATGGCACGACTTCAGAGCAAGCCACTTTTTTGATAGTTCTGCTCACATAATAAGAAGCAGCTTGTTGCTGCTTCTAGGTGGCGCTTTGGCCTTTTTCATGGTATGTGACTATGTGTCGTGTACTCCATTTTGGGAAATAAATATTTATGCTTTGAAGGGCGGGCCTGGTGCAAGCGGTAGAGTCTTACCGCATGTAACCGGAAGGTCCCGGGTTCGAGTCGCGGTCTCCTCGCATTGCACAAACGAGGGTAAGGCTTGCCACTGACACCCTTCCCCAGACCCCGCACAGAGCGGGAGTTCTCTGCACTGGGTACGCCCTTTAAATATTTATGCTTTCTTCTAACTTAGAATTAAACATAACAACTACCCCCTCGTTGTCAAAGTACCAGTCCATTCTAGTGGGATGTGTTGTTTCAGAATTGTTATCCATTAAGGAAACCAGGAGTGTAGGTATTGCTATTTTTTATAATATGGATTAAAGTGCTTAAACACATCATGTAATAGGGTGAACCGGTGAAGCATGGTTGATTCTGTTAACTATTACTTAGACTGTGGCTCATTGCGTGCATGACACCATGAGCTAGTTGGACAACTATTGAGGGAGTTTGTTTTTTCAATTCCATCACAATACTTGTAACAAGTCTTCTCTTTCTGGACTCTACTATTGATTTATTATTAAGGCATGAATGTGGCTCTCCCGATTATTCTTTTAAAAGGTTTTGTAACAGATCTGTTCACTTGCAGGTTTTGACAGAATATGTCCTTGTTTCTATGACTAGTGCTGTAACAGTGACTGTAGCAGGAATTGTGAAGGAAGCTGTCACTATTCTGGTATAACTAAAGTTTGATTTTGCTTTCCATGTTAGTTTACGCAAAATTCATCTATGCTAGTTCATTCATATGAAGGGCGGGCCTGGTGCAAGCGGTAGAGTCTTACCGCTTGTGACCGGAAGGTCCCGGGTTCGAGTCGCGGTCTCTTCGCATTGCACAGGCGAGGGTAAGGCTTGCCACAGACACCCTTCCCCAGACCCCGCACAGAGCGGGAGCTCTCTGCACTGGGTACGTCCTTTTTTTAGTTCATTCATGTGATTGTGACTCTACAATTAAAAAATGCAGGTTGCTGTGCTATTCTTTCATGATCCATTTACATGGTTAAAGGCGCTTGGGTTGGCAATAATAATATTTGGTGTCAGTCTATTTAATATTTACAAGTGAGTCGAAACTTTCCTATTTCATTTCCATGTTATTATTGTTACTGATCCACAGCTGGTAAATCAACTCAAATTTCTAACTTTGAATCTTTAAATAAGAAGCATAAGTTCATTTCTAATGCTTGGAGAATATTGACTAACAATTGTTTGTGCTGTATGATGAAGGTATAAAAGGTTCAAAAAAGGGCATCACAATGAAGATACTGGGACAAATATCCAATCTTCTAATGGGACTTCAAAATACGTTATCCTTGACGATGATACTGAAGCTCAAGATGATACAGGCTGACCTGAATGTGGTAGGTAAGGTAAAAAAAAAATATGAGGGATATATTTTTGGTTCAGATAAAAGATCTTTGCTTCGCAATTTCTCGATTTTTTTCAAGTGGTTTAACGGTTTAATTCATGTTTTTTCAGAATGCAGACTATTATATGCACTGGTTTTTCCAGAGAAGCAAGATCATCTGTGCCTGCATAGTCTTACTTTCACAGGCTAAATGATTTCATATTTTTGAGTTCATCAATCGATGTGGTCAGCCATGCACGAGCATGACGCTTGCAGCCATGTGACAAGTTGGGAAGAGAAAGACTACACGCTCATATATGGAACATACAGCCTGGTATCAGTACAGATGTTTTGTCCTTTCATTCAAAACAAAGAATTGTGCATATATCTGAACGAGACTTTCTGCATATGTCCACTAAGAAAATGTTCCATCAATTGCAATTAGAAATACAGCTGACACACTATTAACTTTCTGGAAGAGGAGAGGGCTCAATTTTGTAGTGCATTCTGAATGTTGAAGGTAGATTCAGCATCGGAATATAGCTTTCTTTTCTTTCTTTCTTATTTTTTTAGATGAAAATAAACACTCTTATATGCAATGGTGTCATTATGGGAATGTATACTGTTTCACATACAAGCACCACAAGTTGAAGTTCGTCCCACCTTATTTTGGAGAGGGTTCTATTGTAGTACTTCTATCTTGAGAGCACAGTGTCAGGTCGGCCCTGGTCCATCTCAATTACCCTCTCCGTTCCAAATTATAAGACATTTTGGCTTTTCTATATACATAGTTTTTGCTATGCACTTAGATTTAGTGTATGCCTAGATACATAAAAAAACAATGTATTGAGAAAAACCAAAATATCTAACAAAAAAAAATGTATCGAGAAAAGCCAAAATATTTTATAGTTTGGAGGGAGGCCAAACAGGCCCTTAGTAACAACCATTTCATAGAGGCACTGGTAGAACAATCCGAGAATATTTTCATGTTACCTGTATTTCCTAATGAATTGTACGAGTACATAAGCTGCATGAGTGCAGTATGCAACTACCCGGTTTGTAAGACTGCCCACAGCGTTGGGTTTCACCGGTGCTGAATTAGGAGAGAGAAGGATGAGGCACCGGCTCATGCCATTGTAGAGTGCGATGCCAGGTTGAAAAAATCAAGCACCGTGGCACACCAGTGCTAGAAGAATAAATAAGTGTATTCTTTACCCATCTGCTATGCAACTGGTGCTGGCTGCTGGCCCTCGTGACGTGGCTATTGGTGTCCCACATAAATGAAGCACCGGTGCTGACATTATGGGTAGACATGAGTCTTGCATCGGTACCCATTTGACACTGTGGACAGTCTAAGGTGAGAAATATAGCAAATAAAGGTCTGGTCAAGCCCAACTTCCTAAGATAATAGGCCTGTTTGCTGATTAGTGCTGGTACTAGTTTGGCCTTACTGTAGACAGTCTAAGGTGAGAAATATAGCAAATAAAGGCCTGGCCCAAGCCCAACTTCCCAAGATAATGGGTCTATTCGCTGATTGGTGCTGTACTAGTTTGATCTGGCTGGTACGGATTTTTTTAGAGAAAAACACTGTTAACTGATTGGTTTAGGCTGGCTAAAGCCAACGAGCGCTGAATAATAAAGGGCCGAGCTTGTCAGCTGACAAGTCTCTGTCTCTCTCCGGACGTCAGCTGACAAGATAACATGCCCAAACCCAACTTTTTATGTGTGTCGTGTTTCCTATTTGATTCCTCTCTCCTACAGTATGCCCTAGTGGCAGAATTATGCAACGCATACTGAGTGCATCTCTAAGAGCACACGATATTTTCTTCCAAAAAGCACGGAGTTTTACAACTCCTAAAAAATATTAGAATAAAGAAAGAAAGTTATCTTCAAAAGTTTTTAATAATCCACTCCTAAAATATAGTAGACAATTTTATATTAGAAATCATATACTATTTCTAAATTATCCTAACTACTTTTATATATTTTTCTCTCTTTTATATTTGCATCCGTAACTCTTTTCTACTCTTTATTCTTTTCACGGCCTTCCACCTTTAGATTGGCCGACAAACATGCGTGGAAGAGAGAAGATACGCGCGACTCGGAAGCGTAAGTTTATGCAGAATACGGTGACTTTTTCCAAGTTCTAAAAGATTAGGAGGATGGATTAGAAGTTATTGGAGAAGGTTTTTTTTATCTTGTTAAAAACCAAGGATTTAGGGAACGCTTGAGATGCTCTGACCTCCAAACATAGCGATAACCCCATCTGTTTGATCCGTCGTTTGGCTTATAAGCCGTACTTTTTTAGTCAATGAATAATATTTTTCTCTCACAGCAAATCAGCCAACAGTACTTTCAGTCATGGCTTATCAGCCAAGCGAACAGAGCATATCAGTGTAGTACCAGCTGGTTAATGATATGCTTCTTTCTAGATATCGGAACATTTTAAATCCGAACCTCTACCGTGTGAGCAGTAACGTGCATACCGCTGTTAGCCTAATAATTCTCTCTTAGTTTAACATTTTTCACTAACTTGTAGACTATCATAGGATGCTGACAAAGGATCTTGTGGCAGAGATAGGTTATGTTTGGTTCACAAGACTAAAGGTTACTGTAGTCACTATTTAAATAGGTGGACTAATTTTTATTCTAACCTAACTAGTTGCAAGCTTCTCTCAGCCGACCATGTATCCAATCAGGACATGACTAAACTTTAGTCACCTAAAATTTTTAGTTAGACTAATAACTAGTCCAGTGATCCAAATGGATCCCTAGTTATACGAGGAACACAAACAGGACTCTTAAATGTTACATGGGTAATACTGTAATGGACTTTGATTCCTAACATGCGATGAAGAACCATTTTGAAAGGTATATATTGTTTACTGAAGCATAATAAAGGCGTGTTCGCTGGTCTGGTCCATCTAGACCAGCAGACTAATCCCCCTCAGCAAACACTATTCATCAATTAGTCGCTACAGTATTTCTCTTTCACAAAACCAGTCAGTTTCAGTCAAGTTTCAGATCAGCCAATGGGCCTAAGTGGAAACCTCTCCCGCAGTTGCCTAGGGACTACTCCCTCCGTGAAAAAAAAACCCCGCAATTCTAACGCAATTTTGAACTTCGTGTCCGTCCTCACTGCCGATATAAGACCAATCATCAGTTCATCGTCATCCTATGGAACACTCACTCTACATCTGCATCCATCGTCAGCCTGTTCGGTTCTGGTTCGTTTTGTTGCTGGTTCGTGAAGAAGTACTATTGACTGATTTGTGTGAGAGAAAAATACTGTTTTGATTGAAAATTTACGATTGTTTACAACGAGCCACAGCCAAACGAACATGTTGCATAGCTTCCCTGGAAAACTGGGAACGAATGACCCAAAGCTTCCGTCCTCCTGTGCGACTGCAAGAACTCGCTTTTGTGTGCCACACCTAGGAAGGCTGGATCGATCAGTCCCCTCGGCCTTTGGAACCTAGCCTTGGATCTCAACGTGTTTGTCCGATCTGCTCGCAAATTCCCTCTCGTAACGCCGTGCTAAACTGCTAGGCGGACGGCATCATGTGCGTATCCCACGCGGCGTGCCGGTACAGCGACGCAGGCCGAATTCGACGCAGCGGCCGGCGTAGCCTCGCGGGTAACGCGCGTCGTCCCTCCCGGCATCGGGGGGAGACACGGCCGTGGCGCCGTGCCGCGCCGCGGTTCTGCCGGCCGGCTCTGCCCTGGTGGCGAGAAAACAAAACGACTAGCCTGCCGTGACCGGCAATGTGGCGGGACAGCACGCGGCCCGCAGGTGGGAAGGTGGGGATGGGGTTGGATCCGTTACATCCGTAGCGCCCGCATCCGTAGCGCCGCACGTGGCCTCGATCGCGCGCGCGTGTTCCCCAGTGCTCCCAACCACCGCGGCGCCGAAGCCGGGCGGCACACGCCGGTGCGTTGCCACTTGCCACCACCCCGCCACCAGTTGCCGTCAGGTGGGCAGATTCCGCTTCCGCATCGGACGAAGCCTGTCTGTTTGGCGCGGCACCGCAGGCGGAGCGCACCACGCCGCAGCTCGTGGCGGCGCGAGCCATGTCTCCATCCGTGATCACAACTGGCGAGACGAAGAAAGAAAAATGCCAAACCTTTCGCTGCTTTCTGCTTGGAATCACATTGCAAACGGGACAACCTTGGACGGCGAACGCACGAACGAACAAGAACGCACGCACGCACCCAATCAACACGGGGAGGCAGCAGCAGCCAGCAGCCGGCCTTGAACAGATAAACCCCGTGCATCGATCAGAGCTACTATGTACTAGTGCCTCCAAACAGGGAAAAAAATCAAATGTAAAAAGAGTTCAAGGACCATCAGGAGCACGGCGCGGTGGCCGCCAGGCTGAGCTCGCGGCGTCGCCCGAACACGACGGCGCACTCGGGCAGCTCGCCGAGTCCGCGAACAGGGCGTCTTCCCCCTGCAGCTCCCGCTCCCACTCCTCCGGCGGCAGCAGCGGCGCGTACAGCGCCGACCGGTGCCACGTCGGGTACTGATCGAACCACCCAAAGTCGAAGCTTTCGTCCTCCTCGGCCGCCGGCGCCACCGTTGCGGTTGCCTCCGCTTCCGCTTCCGGCCCGGCCAGACCTGGGACGATCTTCTGCTCCTGCTCCTCTTCCGGCTCCTGCTGCTCTGGCACTTCTGTCTCTGCCAGCTCATGCTCCGGACCGAGCTCATCCTGCTCGACCACGGGCTCAGGCTTCGGCGCCGGCGGCCGAGGGGACGGCTTGCCTTGCTGGTGGCAGCTGCTGCTGCTGCTCTTGGGCTGCGGCGCCTCGTGGTTGTGGTCGAAGGTGTATGTGACGAGCAGCACGGTGGGGTCGGCGCGGCTGCGCTCCACCTGCTTCCTCGCCGGGCACCCCTTGGAGCTGCTGCAGCGGTAGTACCCCCTGCACAAACAGAAGCACAAAGCAAGCTTACCAGGCTGCTGCTAATCGGGAACCAGCAATTACTTACTAGCATGCACACAGATGCTGATTAGGTTCAGTCAGGACATGAATGAGCAGCAGCAGCTGCATGCGTACCGTGGGTAGGGGGAGCCCTTGATGGGCTTCTGCCCATACTTGCGCCACGCCCACGAGTCCGACGGCGGCGGCCCCTCCCCGGTGGCCCCTCTGGGACGGTCCCCGCACTCGGCCAGCGGCACCGACACAACCCGCTTCTCCACCGATCTCCGGCTGCTTGCTCGCACACAAAGAGACAAGAGCCAAATCAGCGATCTTTGCAGCCCTGATTTCTAGATTCCCGTACCAGCGCAGCAGCAGCAGGTCACGGGCGCGCACCGCGCAGAATACTCTCTGTGCAGGCACGCGTGGGACGCGACACATGAATCCTGTCCGTACCTGCGCTTAGCTAGCGGCAGCGGCGACGACGGCGAGGCGGGGAGGTCGCTGAGGTCGCGCTCGCGCTTGTTCAGCCCGGCGGCCCCGGCGCGCGGCGACTCCGCGTCCGCCCCCGCCCCCGCCCCCGCCCCGCCGCAGGCAGCGGCTCATCGGGGGATTCCGCCCGCGGCGAATCCGAGCTGCAGTAGCCGTCCTCGGCCGACGACATCGATCAGATCCTCTCCTCTCTGGCTCTCTTGCCGCCGCTGCCTCGGTGGCCACGCCCGGGCGGAGTACACGGAGCCGGAGACGAGCCTCTGCCCTCTGCTCTGCTCCGCTCCCGACGCCCACAGCCCCGGACGGATAAAAAGCAGGCAGCTTCAAAGCAAAACTAACTCGCGCTTTCCCAAAGTGCGCAAAATTTTTTCGCCCTGATGGTGGAGAAAGCGGGGGAGGCGGACCGATGATGGGCGCTGCGGCTTTCAATGATCCCTCTCCCCTCCTCTCTCTCTCTCTCTCGCTCGCTCGCTCGCGATGCGCGGCGTGTCTGTATATGCGGGGTGCGCGCGCTAGTGGGCGCCTTTTTTTATGCGAACGATGCTGGCTAGTGTCATCGGGGAGCACCGGGGTGAGCAGGGCAGCCAGGGCGAGTGAGCGATATCCATACCGGCGGGCGGCTGCAGGCGTGAGCGTACGCGAAGCGAAGCGATATTTTTATTGGTTTGGCGGCTTGCTTGCTTGTATGCTCTGTTCGTTTTGGATTGGATCTCGCCTGTTTCTTGTCGCTGTGTTGCGTCTCGGAACGGAAGAGGAGAGCCGGAGAGGAGAGCGACGTGCTCGGGGCCGGGCCGGGCCGCGCGCGGAGAGAGCCGTGATTAATCTAGTGGAGGCTGCGATCGCGACCCCCGCCCTAACCACTCCGGCCAGCCAATCATGGACTATGTTCTGCTCATGCACTCCACCCGTGCACACACATCTTCGTGCATGTGCGGATACGCGTGCTCTGAGATGTCCAAATACGGTGTATGTACGTATGCATGGGCTCCTCTGTTCAACCCTGGCCTGTGATCGTATATATATACACGGACGTTGCCAGGACTTTCTTTGGGAAAGAAGGAAGAACAGGCACATTTTGTGAGGAAATACAAGGGTTTCATGTTGGTTCGCTCCCATTTGTACGTGGTACAACGAACTAGCGCTAAACGCTGCAACCAATCGGCGTTTGGAGGTCGCAGTGTCCAGCTGCCTTGTTCCGAGTGTACGTCCGCATCGATTAGAATATTGCATGTACTTGAAAGAAACGGGCCGGCTAGATCTCTCACATGTAGTCGTCTAAACTACGGTAGTTACATGTGGGGGTAGGACTAAAGAAGCCGACCTCCTCCATGGGGGAGAGAGTACAGCCAAGTTGGGCGTGCCAGAGTAGGGTTCGTTCTCATTAATGATCCATGTGCATCGCTAGAAAACTATGAGGCGGTTTAGTTTTCAAAAAATTTCACCCAAAGTGTCACATCGAAACTTACGGCATATGTATAGAGTACTAAATATAGACGATAACTAATTATATAGTTGGGTGAAAAATCATGAGACGAAACTTTTGAACCTAATTAATCAATAATTAGATACTAATTATCAAATACAAACAAAAATGCTACGGTAATCAAACAGTAGCCAAACAAAAAAAAATTGGGAACTAAACGCGCCCTATACAGTCATGGCTGCTATCGATATGTACGCAGAACTAATTTTATCTTGTTGTCTGACACCAAATGCCACTACTATCTTAATTTGATAGGGACGTTTTTAATGATGCTCTTGTTAACGTACCAGCTGAATACAGGGAACACACCACGCTAAGGGTGTTTAGTAGCTCTCGCTCCTCTGAAAATGGCTTCGGCTCTGGCTTTTCTCCTCTGGAGAAGCTGAAGCCGTTCTGGAAAACGTTTGGCAAAACGGCTCCTTCGTACTAAACGACGTGAACCCACAGCAAGGAGCCATGCGAAGCTCGGTTTTTAGGCTTCTCCTGCACAGGCAAAAAATGGCTCTGGCTCTTGACCGGCTTCCCATGCGGAGCCCTTTCCAAAACAGAACCGGAGCTGAACCCTGCCAAAGAGGCTCTTATTCATTCCTCAGCTTCTCAGCACGATACCTATTTTCTCGTAATAATAAAAACATATCAATTATGCAAGGGTATAGTTTTTGTAACAAGGTGCCTTCCTCAACAGCATCCATTGGAAACTAAGCATATATAGTTTGCTCACTTTTTTTTACTTTTTTATAGCACACGAACTGAGCATATATAGAGTTATCGTGAGCTAGAATATATAGTTTGCTCACTTTTTTTACTTTTTTTTTGCGAATCGGTGCCACATGCAAAAAGAAAGTGACTCGGGGCACAGACATAGACACTCATATATATACATGCATATTCATTCCTATGAGCATACGCGCGCACACAATCTATCTATATGAGCATCTCTGAAGAAGTGATTTGCCGAATCTCGAGATTGCAAAGTCACCGCAAGCAACTTGTTTGTCAATGGGCATGTTTTGACTACCACTAAAAAATAACATAGCTAATGCATCAAGTAAATTGTGCGACAACTGTCGACGGTAATAGATACAATGGCATTATTCAATTATATGCGTATTAGTTATTAATGGATCCAAATATATATGACCTAAAGCAAAGTGTATGGGTACCTAAAGCGTAAATAACTGAAACCGCACTCACGATCTAAAACACAAAGTGCTATGGATAAATAGGTTGGAACAATTAAAAAAAAGAAACGAAAAGAAAAAAAGGTAAATCTTTCTTCTGTTCCATTCAAGTTTGCAGTTACAGTACAACATTATTGCTGATGTCCCGTTTGGCACGATTTCACTCCACTTCTCCAGGGAAGCCGTTTTTTTTTTGCTTTAGCTCCATGAACTGCTCCATTAGTAGAGCTTGGTAAAATCGTTTGATAAAACAACTGTATATGTAGAGCTCTTTAAAATAATCTCTCGTAGAAATCAGAACCCACTCAGACCAGGTGAAACTAAAGACCACTATTTTTAGCTCCGCACTCCACGTAACACTTCAGTACTAGTCTCGCTACTGCAGGTTGCAAACATTTTCTCACAAATAGTTCCCACGTGCACCGATATCAGCGGCCCTACCGAAGTGCTATGTGATTATGATGTTCATTTCATTTTCTTTAAGAGCATGTTTCTTTTCCTCTCTTTTCTTTACTGTATTTTGGAAGATGCGATTAGAGCAACTCCAAGAGAGTTGTTATTCCTAGAATTAGATTTAGACGTTTTATGCTACAAAATAGACTCCAACAGATGTTGTATCTGGAGTTGTAAAATACCCAGCCGTCTATTCCGTGAATCTCGGTGGCCAAAGAAAGCTAGCGAGCGCCGCTTGCTATCTCGCTTTCCCGTGTGGTTTGGCACACATGCGGCCGGTTGCCGCGCTGTTCCTGGCCGTTCCCCGTCACGAGTTGCCGACTCGCTGGCTGCCCTTTCCGACACTCCACACGCATGTTCCTCATCACGCTGCCCCGCCCCTTCGAGCTCCTCAAAAAATCACGCCGTGGCACTACGCAAGCTTGTCGCATCCGCCATCTGCAGGAGCTCTGCCCTGCGTTGTACGTACTCGTTCCCCATCCTTCCTAGTCAGAACGGCGCCAATCCCTTTTCCAACCGGCTACATTTGATTTTGATAGATTGGGCGACTCCTCCAAGTGCAAGCCAAGGCCGGATGCATAGGCGTCAAATACGTAGCATGGCCGCTGCTGTAGCTTGGGTGCAATTAGCCAACGAGCCGAGCTACCACCGTGATGATTGTGTCTAGGTGGCTGGTCACGGAGGAAGCAAAGGCCCGGTGACGTTCCGGCGGTGGACTACTGCACCATGGAGCCTCAAAAAAGATTGATGTGGTGAGCTATTTAGAAAGGCGGTTGCAGTTTACTTTCTTTTTAAGACGTTTTTTTATTTTATATAATGACTAAATCAAAGAATTTAATATCTATTTTTAGCGGATGTCTCAGAGATGCTCTTACGATGTTCTGCACAGCTGTTTCCTGTTTGTCCACACGAGAGTGGTAAAGGTACCTAGTTGACCTGTTTTTCAAGACTCCACTAGCTTTCACACCCGTCGCAACAGCTTAAAGTGAATATACTCTGAATAAACAACGAACTCCGTAGGACTGTAGGAGTATTTAGTTTAGCGACCAGGTTCCAACGAGAGCTCAATGTAGCTACGCAGCCACAAATCCAGGTTGTGCGGCTACGGATTAAGTGCCCTTAATTTTCTCGCATCCACCCATGGTTTCGATGAAAACTCTACAACCAGGCAGGCATCGGTTGTCATGCTTACGCACCGTCCTCCGTATGCCATAAATACGAGATGAGGCGCTAATTGCCTGTTTCGCTGGCTAAGCACATGAGCTGGTGCTGGTGAGCGCACCCACAGCAGGTGCGGCAAGCTACGCCAGAATTTTGGTCGGCAGAATTTTAGCTAAAACTAATTAGAAAATACTATTCTGACTAAATTATTATAAAAGAAAAACATTAAAAAATAAACTGAACAAACCAAATAAGGGATAAACCGACCGGGGCCTAAGAGGGACCAAAACTAAAAAGAAAACAGCCTACACCTGACAGTGACAGTAATATGAAAACCAGCCCCGTTGATGAAACGCCATGCACCAACTTAATCAAATCAAGCAAATCTTTTCTTTCTTATTATAAATCGGCCGAGCGAGCGGTTTTTTTTTAAAAATTTAACATTTTTTAAAACTAATTCTAAATCTAACACTGTCGGTTTTTTTTAAAAAAAACTAACATTTTTTGCCGCGCCTATTGTCCTGGCGCGGCCAAATGCCTGTGCCGCGGCAGCGGGCTGACGTGGCGACGACCGGAATAGCGACCGGTGACGTGGCAGGGCTCTGCCGCGCCACCGATCTTGGCGCGGCAGTGCCGCGACCTGAAACGTGGCGCGGCAGAGCCGAATAAAA